CAGGGACCATGATGAGTAGAGAAAATGGTTGACAGGTTCAAATGGCTGACAAAAGGCCTGGCCCTGACTTGAGACAATGCTCTCAGAGACCTTATCTCATATTTGTGTATCAATTGAATAATTTATATAAGGATAAGCTAAATGAGGATTGAACTTGACTGTTTTAAGAATTGAGTTTAGTGTCTGATTCTGCTTTGTTTATACTAATTTCTTCTGCTTATTATTGATATAATGATTGATAGAAATGTTTATTGGGAAGTATGAAAGTAGAGAACTTGTAAGTCCACTTGCTTGAACTATTAAAATTGTATCTTTAAATGTGTTTGAGTTAGTTAATTGTGCCAGCCTGGCCGACAATCACATGTGGGGCTGGTTGAAAGGCGGAGGGATAAATGGGTGGTGAAGCCTCGCCTTTCTAGTTCTCGGGTCTCTTGTTTTGTGATGGTTGCATCGGGTGCAGCTGCCTTAGCAATTCCCTGCTTCAGCTTGCAAGATTGACTTCCTACAAGACATCCCCAAGGAGAAGCTACATGGACCTATCCTGATGCAGCCCTGGGTGCTGGAGCAGCCGTGTGGAGACCCCTGCTAGTGCTGAGATGCTTGTTCGTTCACTGACTCAGCTTTCCTCCTGCAGTTGGCATCATTGCCTGTTTTGTGAGGTGGAAGACTTTGTGGACTGGTGTTGGGTTAATGTTGGACTTGTGGGCTTGGGCAGCATTGGGTTGGGATGTTTTCGTGATGCACCTTTTCTTTACATAAAACTCTCTCTTACACATGAGTTGCTGTGGATTTGTTTCTCCAAAGTACCTAGACTATTACAGTGTTTAAGACACACCTGCAAAGAAGGCTCTGAAAAGATAAACCCGCCCAGTGCTTTGGAGTAGTCAAGATGTTTGTAATTGAAGAGACTTGCCTAGGGGCAAGATTGACAGATTGAAGAAAAAAAGAAACTCTTTGGATTTTGGAATTTTGAACTTGTGGTTTGTGCCAGTAGCTGGAAAAAATCTGGAACCATGAAGAAAACTCCTCTCTGGGACTGAACATTGAAGGGAGCCTATGGGCAGGCTGAAATGCTTGCTAGGTGACCACCTGGATCCACGTGTTAAGTGGAAGTGGGAGAAATATAGCAATAAAGAGATGGGATAAGTCTGATCACTGACACCCTTGGACTTGGTTTAGAGTCAAAAGAGAAGACTAGAGCAGGTTGATTGGTCTGAAGTTCACCACCTAGCACCAGGGCATTGGGTTGTTGAGAGTTTGTGATGGGGCCATGGTTTAAAGACAAGGCAACCAATGGGCACCCTGTTGGAGGCTGAGTGAGGCAGCCCACATTGAGTTGACCAGAACCGACCAGATGAGGAGAAGGTTTTTGAGATTGTGCACCGTGCATATTGCTACTGACTTTATGGATGGCCTGTCCTGATTTGATTTTGCTTATGGATGCGCATTCACATGGTTCCAACTGGAATGAAGGTTCTTCATGTCAAAGATAGGTGGGGAATTATATTCATAGGATTATAGGATTAAGCTGTAGGTGTTGCTTAACTGCAATTGTTAGACATAGGATATTTTTGTTTTGTCACTTATAGAAAGTTTTGTTTAAATGAGGGTGGCACATATTGAATTGTAAGCATTTTAGTCTTATCCTGTTAGGGACAGATAAGATTTTATTATTGTTTGTTTGAAAATCATATATGGCTAAAGAGTTATGTGACAGTGTCAAATTGATAAGGGGTGGTCTGTGGAAGTTACATAGTCTGGTATCATTTTGGGACTTGAGAGGATTAAGAGTGAAGGGGTGGAGTCTAGTCTGTCAATCGGGTCATAGCCACTGAGGTCTCTGTGTGGGCATGGCCTTCCCCTGAGGATTCTGGGAACACCTGTATTCCTTTTTGGAGGCGGGAGATATACTCTTGCTCTCTGCTCACACCCTGGGAGGCATAGCAGCTGAAAAGACACACAGAACTGCGCTAGTGCTCTGAGCTGGAGAAGCCATATGGAGACCCCTGTCAGCACTGAGATGCTTATACCACCACTGGATCCACAAGCCTTTCTACCCACTGGCCTGTGATCTTCCTTCATTTGGCATCATTGCATTGCTTCACGAGTCTGAAGAGGACTTCATAGATTGTTATCAGACATATGGGCTAATTTCAGACTTATGGACTTGATCTGGACTGGGCTGGAATATTTTCTCAATATTCAATTGCTCTTGTATGTTAATTTCTTTCTTATACACATATGCGTGTTTATTAATTTGTTTCTCTAGTCTACTGGACTAACATGTGGGTGGGGGGATGGGTAGGACAGCTGATAACATTGATGATTGTATAATTCCACTAGATGGGGTTGAATAGCAGAATTGTTTGTGAATAGATATATTGGATTGTATTAGATATGAAAGAAAAAAAATTTTTAAAGGGTTTCTGGAGGGGGGGGTACAATGGGGGATAGGGGGGACAAAGGGAGCCGATATCAAAAATTTCAAGAAAAAATATGTTTTGAGACTGATTGTGGTAGCAATTGTACAATACTGCTTGATGTGATTGAACTATGGAATGTTATCTGTAAGAACTCCCAGTAAAATGCCTACATAAAAATAAATAACTGGATATGTGATTCTATTCCACACAATCATACTAAATGTCAGCTACAGACAGAAATACATGCAAGGTTAAATTCCATAGGTAAAATTGTCAATGTTTGATTCTTCCATTTAAACGTTTCATAAGCACTGCAGCTATCTGTTTAGGGGCCTAACAGGTTTTAGAAGGAAAAGGATTAAGAGGTTTTCTTTTTCTCAATTGAGGCACAAAATGAGTGTGATTTGTCCAGTTACCTTTCATTTCATCTGACTCGGGCGTCAGAGATCTTTATTTATCATGCATCAGGCAAGTGTCTGAAGTGCTGGACTCTCGGGATATCAATGGCTTTGGGGTGACAGGCTAACTCTGAGGATAGATGAAGAGACCGTGTGCCTCATTTCTGAGTTCTCAGCTGCCGGGCTGTGGGAATCATGGGTTTACTCTCCTCCTCTCCTCCCACCACCGGCTCCGTGCAGCCAGGCTTGAGATCCTGCATCTGGGCAAACAAGCTCCTCTAGAGGTTGGTGAGCTGAATTCCTTTTTCTTAAGGAGTGTGTCTTTTTAGTTTTGTTTAAATGAAGGTGACACATATTGAATTGTAAGCATTTTAGTCTTATCCATCCATTTAGTCTTACCATCGAAAAATTAATTATTATTATTATTTGTTTGGTCTCTTTAAGGAGATAAATACTACCTAGTATAATAATTCAGTCTAACAGGCTTGTCAGCTTTTAAGTAGATTTATGAACAAAAGTGACATCTGACACTTAAGTTTTATATTTTCGAAGTTTCTAAAGTCCAACTGTGGCATTTCCTTTTGCACATTTTTATCTTGGATTCAGAAAATATCAGAAAACAAAAACGTCTCTTTTTTAATTTCTCAAACTGTAATTTTAGTTACAAGTTGTATTCCCACAGATTCTCTAAACTGGTCTCACATGTCCTAATGTAGATGGATTGCTTCACTTATTTCATTTAAATTTGTTTATCTACTTATCGGCTTTCTTGAATATCACTTATCTTGAAAAGAATGCTCTTAAAACCTGGCCAATTAGATTTGTCTTTCAATTTTTTTTAATGAGACTCAACCTTAAGTTACCTTCATTCATGGTACCCGGAAAACTTCTTAATGTTTGACTTGTTGTCAAGACTAACAAATATATTTTAAGGACCAAGCTAACAGACCTAGTGACCTTGTTAGCTTTACCCATAGAAAAAAGAAAAATAATAAAACATTTCCCATACATAAGGCTAGACGTGGTAGTAAATGTGCTGACCATGACTTGTGTGTAATTAATTTGGAGGAGGAGGAATTGGTGGCATAGCAAAATTTTGTTGCATGATGTTTCATATTCAGCTATGGAAAACTAGACACAGCTACAAAGAAGAATAGAATTCTGATTTATACAGAAAGTAAGTGTATGGGCATGCATTTTTGTATATGAATTGTTGAATGTAAAACTGACAGTCTGCTACTTTGTTATCCTTCACTGAAATTGAAATGTGAAGTTTTGTTTTGTTTTGTTTTATTTAAGTCTTAGCTTTTTGTTCACTCCTTGTGAGAAATTCTGAATTCAGGTTAAGATTTGGATCAGATGGAGAGAAATATGCGAACTTGTTCCTTTTCTTTGAATGGCTGGGTTACTTTTCAATAAACAGCTTTATATTACTTTTTGAACTCTTCTACAGGTATGCCTGACTAAATAATAAAAGTGGGATTTGTGGGTAATATGTGAGACTCTTGGAATCTTATCAAGAGGAAAGGAGCAAGATCGAAAATGATGTACAGCACAAACACTAATTATTTGGAATTAGATCCTTTTGTAAAGGACAATGACAACTTTCTAATTAATTGTTCTGAGAGTTTAAGACAGAAAACAAATACCTGAGGGTAATCAAACAATTCTCACCTGGGAAAAATAAAGATAAGCTCTTGAACTCAGAAGAATCACTGTTGGGGAAAAAAATCCCCCAGATTTGAAATGAAGGAGAAAAATTCCATAGAATGATAAAAAAATACTTGTATGAGTTGCAACTATTATTATTTTCTTAAGGTTCATGTGTTGCTTTGGGGGAGAAAACTATAAATTGTGTCCCCACTTTACTGCAACCCTAAGTAGTGACTCCGAGTGGGGAGCAAGGGTGTACTGGAGCAGAGGAAGAGAGGGCCGGGTATGCAGGCTGTATTTCCATATCAGATTACAGGAACCCTAAATAATGCCTGATCCAAAGCGATTCTCTCAGTCACAATGGACTCTCCATCAGAAACCGGAAAGAGTCTGAAACTGTTCTAAGTGCACAAAGAATACAAAAAGAATATCATTTGGCAAATAATTACTTTAACAGTTTTGTGTGTTATATGTCAAACGACAGAAATTGGCTAAACCACTGGAAACCGCACCCCCCCACTCTCACCTCTGCCTTTTGCAAAGTCCAATCTGCATGCCATTGGTTCCTCAGTGAGCTCCCTAACATTTGCTTTTAGAGAAGGGTAGGGTGAAATCTGTGTTGTGTCTGCTGACAAAGTGAGTCATGTGAAGACTAAATACAGAATGTTCGGAGATAGGTGATTGCTGGTATACTGCTAAACAGTTGAACATGTTTTGAAAGATATCCAGGGACCTTTATCACACACACACTATCATCTGATGAAGGAAATGACAGAAATTGGCAAGCATGATGGGGACACAGGAGACAGCGTGGCCACATGCACCAAGGTCTCAGCATGTGCTTCAATGAACAAGCATTGTTGGCCCTACAGTGCTTGTGAAATTTAAAAGTGAAATAAGGATACATTTTTAACAATTGGTATTATTTGTTTCATCTATTAATTTATGTTGTTGATGCTCATTACGTTGTCCCAAAATATATCTGCCCATTTACCCAGTTTTCACTCTTCAGGGGTCAAGCTAGAATGACCTGTTCGAAACCCTCATTTTTCCTTTCAAGAAATCAGAATGGATATTAGTAGTCATGTTACAGTTTTCCAAAGTAAAACCCCTTAGTCTAATTGCTATTCGCTTGCTGACTCAATTGCTCTACGCTAGAACATCATTGCTACCTTGTCTGAAATGTAGCAGATGGTGCTTTATGGTGTCCTTATATCGCACTCTGAGATGGTTTAGAACCGAAGAAATAAAAGTTTGTCCAGTACAGTGATTATTTGTGTGGACTATCTTTCCAGGGTTAACATTTGCCTTATCAAGCAAGCTGCATCTTTTCTACAATTATGAATGTTCTTATTTTAAGACAGAATTTTGAAATACCAAAATCTATCTTGGTTAGATTTATGGTGAAGCCATTATATTTTAGATCCACTTAGTTAGTGATGCATTTATTTTGAAAATAGTTATTAAGTACCTACTGTGTATTTGATACTGTTTTAGGCTCCATGTATGAAATACTATCAGAAACAATATAGACAAGAATCCATTACCTTTGTGTAGATGCTTAATTATGGTGGGCATAATCTGGTATGTTTTGTGCTACATTTTGTGTATATACTATGAAATTTTTTATGTAAATAAACAAAGTCTTTCACTTAGTAACTAACGGCTATGTTTCGTAGGCATTTTGCCCATCACTTCACACACAGAACAGAACGGATAAGTGGGACCGGTTCACTCCCTGCTGTTGAGTCTGTTTGGACTTATAGGGACCCCATAGGACAGGGTCGAACTAACCTCTGGGTTTCTGAGAGTATGAGGGGAAACCCTCCCAAAAAGCCAGGATATTGTTTCAAAGCTATGTATTGAATCTTTATTTGCAAAACAAACATCACTCTCAAAGTACTCTCCATCACAATTAATACATTTGTCAAAACTGTTATTCCATTCTTGGAAACATTTTTCAAACTCATCTGTTTGGATGGCCGACAGCACGTCCCTCATTTTGTTCCTTCACCTCTTCTGTGTCATCAAATCACTGTCCTTTCATGTTCCTATTTATTTTTGTGGGGGGAAAAAGAAGTCATACGTAGTGAGGTCAGGTGAGTCAGCTATGTGGGGCAAGAGAAGCATGCTGTGTTTTGCCCACAACTGGCACACTGAGATGGCTATGTGGGCAAGTGCATTGTTGGAGTGGCAAAACCAGTCCCGTGTCTGCCACAAATCAAGCCTTTTTTCAGTCATACCCTATTATGCAATCTTTTCAGAACCTCCAGATAGAAAGCTTGATGAGCAGTCTGACTTGGTGAAACATATTCATTAGTTAGGGAAATTGATGGAGAGCCAGTCCTTTGAAATAGAAAACCACTTGTACACTTCAGTTTTCCCATAGGGCTGTCCTTGGAAGCTTTGTTCAACATCACAACAGTTTCTGAAGCATTTTTTCCTGAGCAGGAAAAAAAAATTTCACAGCCTCACATTCTTTTCTTAAATCAGCCATCACACCAAAAAATGAGGTTTGGGTGAAACTGCTTCTACGAATAAATCCACTGTGATCAGAGAGAACCTTCCCAGGTGACAGCGCTCGGTGCACTAACTCAGGGCAAGTTGTTATGTGCTCACCTAGAGGGAACATAGGTACTCTGAAAGCTCTGCCCTGTGGAGCTTTTTTCCAGTTTTGGGGGGGTACCCCCTCATAAAACTTGACAAGAATAGAAATCCTTGTCTTTCTCCCAAGGAGCACATAGTTCTAAATTGTAGACCTTGTGGTAAGCAGCTCAATGAAGAGCCATGACACCTCCAGGGTCCCCATGTAGGAACCATCAACCTTCTGAAAAAAAATTTAATGAACACGTTTGCAGCCATAGTCGCAGAAGTAGAAGAAATATTAAAGACAAGCAATGCACTGCCATAGATTCATTTCCAACTCAGAGTAGCCCAAGAGCAGCGGTTCTCAGCCTTCCTAATCCGCGATCCTCTCATGTGGTGGTGACCCCCAACCAGAACTTCATCACTGTCATTTTGCTACTGTTAGGAATCGGGCGACCCCTGTGAAAGGGTTATTCGACCTCCAAAGGGCTCGCGACCCTCCGTTTGAAGAGCTCCATCTCTATGTTTCTGAGTAGAAAGCCTCACCTGTCCCGAGCGTCTCATGGTTTTAGCAGCCTAGCATGTCACCAACCGGCAACGTGACTGAGCAATGCTGCTTCCCTCCCCTACTCCCTGAATCTATTTCTTATCATCTATTTCTTATTTGCTTAATGTGAACCACTGTCTGTATTTTAATGTTACCTCTTCGTTGGGATGTAAGGGAAGTATTTTAGTTTTCATAAGTTCGATCCTTTGAAGTGATGCTTAGGCAAACGTTCAGGTGAGCATATATGTAGTCAGGCAATTGTTTCCTGGGGGCGAGGAGCTGTGAGACGGGAGACACACGGGGTTAAGAATGCTGCTGGGCTATGTAAACTAAGGGCAGAATATAGTTAAAACTCACATTTTGGTAACAGTTTGACCAAAATGCATTCCCTGACATATCTTAAGCAGATAGATGTTTGTCACTTGTTTGAAAATATAATTTCTTCCTCATTAATAATCTAACGTTCACATTTTACTAAGATGTGAATTAATACGTAAGCGATTTTAAGTATTAAACCAGTTTTAGGCTCACTCCCTGAGAGACATTCCTACTGAGAAGACACATGAAACTATGCTAGAGCCCTGGTGCTGAAGGAGCCACTTGGAGACTCCTGCCAGAGCTGACATGCTTCCACCGCCACTGGATTCAAAAGATCTTCCACCCACTGGCCTGTGCTCATCCTGCATTCGGCATCATTGCATCTGTTTTGTGAGTCTAAAGAGGACTTTATATATCAGACATATGGGCTAATATTGGACTTATGGATTTGATGTGGACTGGGCTGAGATGTTTCCTCAATATTCAATTGCTCTTGTATATAAATTTATATGTATAAATATATATAAAATACACATATGAGTGTCTCTACCAATTTGTTTTTCTAGTCCACCCAGACTAACACATAAGACAAATATACTCTTAGCCTGGAGGGGAAAGAAGAGGACCAATCTGGGTCAAGTTTGTGTACCTGGAATACCTGGGGGGTGGAGCTAGTCATCGTTGGGTTCAATATTGGGATTGTCAACAAGTAGCTGCACAACCTTGGCCAGTCTCTGGATCGACGAGTCAGTTTACTCACTTTAAAAATGAAGATAACGTTAAGTACCCCTCACCAAACAAAACAAAACAAAAATTCCCTGTTATGGAGTTAATTCCTACTTTAAAGTTACTGTGCAAATTCAACACCAATATCTAAACCTTCTGTAGCACTTATCAAGTTAAAGGCACTTGTCTAAGTATTTCGCATATTAACGCCCTTATTTTGCACAATTAACTTATGAAGTAGGTACTTTTGTCATTTCTATTATATATATTAAGGAAGCAGAAACATAGAGGTTTATTAACTTGCCAAATGACAGAGAACTGGGGAATGGTGGAGTCAAGACTTGAACCTATGTAGGCAGGCTATAAGTTGTCAACAACTCAACGGCAGTGATAAAATTCTGGCTATCAATGGTATGCCTTAATCAATAATTTATAATGCCTCTCATGATTATTAGGCACTTTGGTTACTCTCAGGACAGGGATATCGTAGATGATAGATAATTACTATAATTTCACCCAGTTGCTTAGTTAAAATGGAACCCATACGCTCATTGTTTGCATGCATTATACTGAACGTTAAGATTCAACACATAGCAAGAGACATCACCTTGTTTACCACGTAATTTTGAACACGAAAATGTGCACCATGGATCAGAGCACAGTGACAAGGTTGTAAAGTGAAAAGGAATTTGCATAATCCAGTTCAAGCCACTTGCAGAGCATGTGCATGTTGAACTTCACCCAGAGAAATGCATGTGAATCACAAGAGACACGTAGATCAGATCATCTGAGCAGTGTTGGCAGGGAGTTGCAGGTGGCTTGTTGTTGTTGAGTGCCTTATGACTCCTAGCAACCCTATGCACAGCAGAGCCCGGGCCTGCCCCATCCTCACCTTGTCCTTCCGCTTGAGCCCACTGTTCCAGCCACTGTGTCAGTCCATCTCCTTGACGGTCTTCCTCTCTTTCACTGCCCGTCCACCTCACCAAACATAGTGCCCTTCGCCAGTGACTGGGTTCTCCTGCCAATACGCCCAACGTATGTAAAGTTAAGTCTTGCCATTCTTGTCTCTAAGGAGCACTCTGGCTATAATTGTTCCAATAAATATAGGTCTATCCTTTGAGCACTTCACAATATTTTCGATATTCTGTGCCAACACCATAATTCAAAGATATTGATTCTTTGACTCTTCTTTTGTTGGACATTGAAGAAGGAAGACTGAGGAAGGCATGCATTTGAAGTGTGGCAGGTAGCTTAGAAAAACTAAAAAAAATAGAGAAACCTGGAAAATATCAATCTGATGATTAGGCAGGGATATACAGTTGCAGTTGGCTTCTAGGAGTACCAGAGTGCTCATGTGTAAAATACAATGGATATTACAGTGAAGATCTGCCAA